GATATAATTAACTGGGGACTCTTATAGATGTTTTTTCAGACTTGAATCAGCATCCTTTGTGGGAGCTGTTTCCTTTCTAATTGTTTTTTTTTTTTTAATTTCACAGAGAAATCATACTTTTGTGGCTCTGCTTTTTGTCTTTTTTTGCATAAAGACACAGAAAAGAGAACAACTGTCAGAGGCTTAAGCCAGAGGTGCTGTATTCTCTCAGCGTCATTTTCCGGGGGGGGGTGGAAATTAAATGCACTCTTTATTTTTCAAGATTATACATAACAGATAAACAAGTGTGCATATTTTTCACGGAAGTAACAACCACTCAGAGAATTCCTGCCCCATATTCCTGCATAATCTGACTACCTGAAAGCTTTAGAGGACCACTGTTTCTTCCCACAAATATTTTACCTTTTGCACTTTGAACTTCTTAATGTCCACACTGTGCTTGGCCTAACTTACCAAAGCATTCTCATTGTCTTTGTGACTAATCAGGGCAACATATCAGTTTACCTCTGTCTTGGTTTCGGCTGGGATAGAGTTAATTTTCTTCCTAGTAGCTGGTATAGTGCCGTGTTTTGGATTTAGCATGAAAATAATGTGATAACACACTGATGTTTTAGTTGTTGCTAAGCAGTGTTTGTACTAAGTCAAGGACTTTTCAGTGTCCTATGCTCTGCAAGTGAGGAGGTGCACAAGAAGTTGGGAGGGAGTATAGCCAGGACAGCTGACCTCAACTGACCAAAGGGCTATTCCATACCATATGACGTCATGCTCAGTATATAATTGGGGGGAGTGGAGGGTGAGCGAGCGGCTGTGTGGGGCTTGGTTGCTGACTGGGGTTAAACCACGACAATCTCACTTAACTGAGATGTCAAACTTAGGAGCTCTCTTGCCTAAGGCTCTCTAGGGGGAAGTGGTTTTCAAAATCTAAATCATCCCCAGGTGCATATCTTTCCTGTGGCAGATAGAGAGTGCCAGGAAATCTGGAATCATAATTTAGGTGCCTTGATCAGGTAGGATGAATTTGGGCTGAGGCATATAACTTTTAGGCAGAAAATACGTGAGTTTTCAAAAAGTGTCAATCCAATTAATTCTGAATGTCTTGGAGAAGCATGGCAGAACGTGCAATACTTCTCAGTTTACAAGTTCATAACTTTTTCCTCTCCCCCTACAGAGGCTGCTACTGACCCCCCTAAGGCACCTGACAGCGAACCTTTGTTTACAAAACTGCGTAATCCAAGCACAGGCAAGTTTTGGAATTGTGACATGAGCCCGTTAATGTTCTGGTTGATTCCCTCCACCACCAAAAGATTCATATTTTGCAAGCTGAAATAATGATGATAGTATAAGTCTCACATGCCAAAGATACTGCTGGTGATGCCAGATAGTTAATGCTGTGCAAACATTTAGAATTTCTTTTATAATTTTAATTGGTTGAACTGTTTATTCATCAGGAATATTGGCAGCACAAAAAAGAGGTGTAATTTAAGTTCTGTTTTTAAGTGCATTAGTTTTGGGGAGCTTACAGTGTTGGGTGTTGAGCCTGGGCTTTTTTTTTAATCCAAATTTAGGCTTCGTAGCATTCATCTTATGCTGTAAAATAAATAGTCAGAGTTAGAAGAAGTTACTCAGTTATACTTACCAAGCTTTTTGAGTCTTTTCATTTTTAAATCTAATTTTCTTCTTTCCCTGGTCCAAGTGGTGGTATCTCTTTTCTCGTTAATAGATGATGAGGCACTTTGCATTCAAAATACATTGGAAAGACCAGCAAATGCAGGCGATATAATGACGCCACCATCCCACAGTTACTTTCTTCTAGTCAGATTGTTCTTTTTGTCAAGGATTTGTTTTTACTGTAAGAGTAATGTAATAATTGGAGTATGAGATACTGCAACAGAAACTTGCAGTAAGCCTTTGTTAGGGTTAATGTATTTTGTTTGAAAAACACGTTTCATGCTGGTTTTTTTTCTTTTCATAAGCTCATTTGTTTTCTATAGATTTAAGTTGTATGTTTTTGTTTTGAAATTCACTGCTCATATTTATATATGTTTGTAACTAAAGTCTTCAGGTACATTTTAATGTCACAATATAGTAACTGCTACTTGTTCTTGAAAGAGGAAAATAATTAAATACAATAGATACAGAATGTGAAATCACTTACTCATCATGGTACCTGTTTTTTGATTGCTCAAATTTACAGTGGGAATATATAGCCACGGATATTTTCCACCTGTTGTATTATATTGGCTTTCTAATTTCTTATGTTTTTAAAAGCGTAGATATTAATTTGCTTTTCTCTGTGGAAGAAGAGATCTGTTTACCTTGTAGCATCAGAGATCTTGGGAAAGGTTTCTGAGGAAAACCTAAAGTACAATGATTGCCTGGGTGTGTTCCTTTAGAATTTACAGGAGCTTATTTATAGACCTGCATAAACCTTCAGTTATGTAGCCTGTTATAAGTATAGGGTCTGACAATGGAAGAACTGAGAACACCTTATTAATGTATTTTCCTTACGTTTGGGTCTAACAGATGAATTGTTGATGCCAGATATTGTATAAATACGCACTGAAGGACTCAGCACACTATAGAATTCACACTGCCCACTTTATTAAATAAAAGTATGCGTGGCCCTTTTTATAGACAGGTAAAAAGGACAAGATTTCTTTCCCTTACAAAGACTATAAACTAGGGTTCAGCCTGCAATTCAGAAGTACCACAAGAAGCATTTTTCAAAGTGCTGAACTAAAAGAAGGGAAATAACCATACCACAAGAGTAAGTAACTAATCGAAGTGGTAAAGTTGTGAGCAAAGCTGCCGAGGTTCTCTCTCCTTCCCCTTGAGTTTCTGTCTAACGACACTGTTGGGAACCTGTGGCGACTGTCCTTTTAATGTAAGCAAATAAATTAAGGAGCTGGAGTTAGGCAGTAGGAATGGTCCCTATCCCAAAATTTGGTAGCTCACTACCACATTTGGTTAGTGCGCTCACTGGTAGGAGTCTTAAGTTGTTCAGTGAGCACTTCTGTGAGTAGTTCGACGTCTGGCGCTGATCAAACTATGGTGTAGACCCTTACATGGTAATGATTGAAACCCCTGCTCCCCCTTACATCTACTCTTCACTCCTCTCCTCCCCTCCCCAAAAGAAAAATTATCAGAGAACTGAAACTATATCCTTAGGTGAGGTTAAACATCTGGTCAGCCTTTTGGATAAAGGGGGAAAAATGCATAATCAGTCATTTTTGGGAAGAGATGTGTCTGCCCATTTTAGCTGACCTCCCTCCGCACCTAGGGATCTCTGCAGACTGAGAACAGCAGTGCTGACGTCAGCTTGCAGGGGCTTACATTGAGGCTTTTTTGAGCTAGCCCATGATCTGTGAGTTGGTGGAGCTTTGCAATTTATGTGTTTTGAGCAGGACTGCCATGTTGTAGTTGCTCTTGTTTCTTGAAGATGGATTGACAACCAAGACAGGACCAGTCCAGCCAACACTCAGCTGACCAAATTTCAGTGGCCACTTCTGTAGTTCTGGCAACTTCCTCTTTTAGATATGGAAAATGCCAATCCTGTTTGCAACGTATTTGTCACCCTTTCATTATAACCCAGAACTAATGTGAAATGGCAGAGCTGTGCTATGGGGTGGCCTAAAATAGAGCTTTCCTTTTCCTTTCCAAACTATCAAGATTCTGATGGGCACTTCGAAGCAACTTCTTTTAGCTTCCTTGTTCACCTTATTTGTCTACCCATACTGAGTCATTGGCAATCCATTTTTATGCACCAAAAAAAAAAGATTTCAAATTGTCACTTGAAGGTTTGAGACTTTTGTTCCCCTAACCCAGAGTCTGTTATCTTGGAGACAAACATGATGGAAGGAGAGGGAATTTTCTTGTTTTCCACTTTCCCCCTTCAGTACAGACAAAAGCTGATTTCTTGAGTGATTTTGATTTGGGTTTGGATCAAAGGCTTTGTGTTGTAAGATGAACTATTCACACATCTTATTTATTGATTCAAATTCAATTTGGTTTATAGAGCTGGTAAATGAACATCTGTATATAATAGTTTTCTTTGTATGAGCTTTCTTTGTAGTGAGTTTATGTAGAATGTGTGTATGTTTGTGTCTGTATGTATATAAGGCACATTCTTCAGACGTACTGGGTATTCTTTTGATTTTTGTGAAAGCTTACAAACACAAACCAGATTTCTTTTCAACAGGGGAAGCAACCCTTTACTTATTCAATAGTGGTGCACAGCAGCTGTTTGAAGTAAAAGCTTTTCATGAGGAATATCGTTCCTGGTTTATAGGTCAGACTGTTCAACAAGGTGAGTAATATAACGTATCCTTCCCCCAACTGTAACTAACGTTCATACACAGACCTTCTCTCTCTCTTCTAGTAAATTTACAGGTGTTTTTCCTAGTTGTTTGAGGCATGCTGCATCACATCCCCACCTTCTGACACACTCATTTGCCATCTGGATTTAACCAGGGCTGGGGGCTTTGTGGTCTCTCTTTAAAAGGCTGCCTTTGGCAGCCTCAATTAGACAGATGTTCATTTGTCTTTGAGGAGGGGGGGGGAAGTCGTTCAATTGTATTTAAACTGAAGTGCCATAAAATACTTAGCTTGCCTTGTCAATCAGACCAGCAAGTCCTCAGTGTAAGTAAAATATGTGTTATCCTACGGGAGGGAAAAAGGGCTGGAAGGCCTTAGCTAGCTAAGTAAGCAGTGTGTTAGAGCTCCAAGCGTTGGAATGTATGGTCTTGCTTTCTTTTAATTACCTCTGTAGTCCCCTGTGTGACTGCTGGGATCTCAGGATAGGCCTGCTGTCTGAAGGTGCCATTTCAGTGTTTTGTCTGAAGTGAGCTCATCTATACCATCCGAGTCATTCTCTGATCCTAGCTCACCTTTCTGAAAATGAGGAGGAAACTTATGTGACTGCTTGTGACAGCTTTAACAATCCTTTATCGGTAAGGATGTCATTGGAGTAGTGTTTCTCTGCCAGCACGTCCATAGACCAAGCAATAAGTATTAATTCAGGAGATGAAGGTGTATTTATTTTGTCCTTTTTTAACTAGAAAAAAGACCATTTATAGTAATAAATAAAAGCAACCCCACCAGACATATGCCTTCTTTAATGGTAATATCCCAAAGCGTGTGTTAACTTTTAAACATCCTCTGCAGGTGCATATAGCAATGCAAGTGGTATGTCTGTGAGCTTTTCCTTGCTCCATCTGGGGGTGAGCCAAAAGACTGGATCTGCTCCCTGCTCCCAATTACGTCCACATTGTATTCTCCCCCTCCCTTTCTAACCTCTATTTTGGCCCTTGGGAAACAGTTGCCTTAAGGAATCATCGCCTCAGTTTTCTTTAAAAGATACAAGGGGAAAAATTGTTCCTGAATGTTAGGACTGCTGCATCTCTGAAACGGTCAGGGGAAGAACAACACAAAAAAGCTGTGTGTTTGCAGTTAAAGCAAATTATCTTGTTATCTGCAGAGAAGGGCAGAGGTCTTTATCTACCTATAGTGAGTCTGAACTCTTTAGAACAAATAAAAATACCTCTTCCTGGAGGTACAGTGGAAAGCACGTAAATGGAAGCTTTGAGAAAGTGGCTAGTGTTTTTTTTCCCTCCAGTTTTATTATCAAAGCTTTCATGTTTGTAAGTAGTCCTGATGCTTGCTTTGCCTCACGCAATGCATTATGTTAGTAATACAGATGTTAGATTGGGTATCAGCTTTGTCCAAACCACGTTCTTCCCACCCCATCTTTTGTTAGTTTTAGAGCCATCGCAATAGGATTTCCTTTTCTTTAATTATCTTAATCATGTGATTTGAAACAAAAAAAATTACATTTATTTGCTTTTGGTTTGCTAATTAATGTCGAATTGTCATCAATTATTGGGTCTAATTAGTGAATTTCCTTGATGTTACATTGTTTCCAATTATCCACAATTGTACAAAAAGCCTGACTAAGCCATTGTCCTGCAATGAGCTCCAGATGGGCAGAGGTGTCTGTTTCAAGGGGAGACCAAGTTCTTCCTTTGTGTGTAACTTTGAATACAACATACTGAGCCATATTTTCTGATCTATTTAAGTTTATTTTGTTCTATTAGGAGACTGCATGCAGATTCTCCCCTTACAGATGAGAGGCAGCTCTAACTTAACCAGCTCTTGAAATTCTTTCTTGCCCTGCCTACCTCTTCTGCCAGCACAGTGTTGCCTTGCCCAGTGTTTGAGGTGGAGTATACTGGATATATCTGGTATCCCAACACAAGTTTCTGTTACACCCAAATCTGCCAATAGAGGGCAGCTTCAATTTTGCTGTTTTTATAGTCCAGAAAAAGGCAAAACTAAGAGTGCTTGAAGCCAGCAGACCTGTAGTGGAGCTTGTGCTTTGGTTTGGCAGGGTTGAGAATTGAGTTCTTTCTGTATTTTTAATATAAAATCACAAATACTATTTTCATGCCTATTTTACTAAAATACCGGGATACTTACTGAAAAAAAAAATTATTCTCTTCTTGCCCACCCTCCTGAAAAACATCCTAAAAAAAAAAAAAGGTCAATATATTGTGCCTCTTGGTACTAAGCTTACTTTTACATATCTGTCACTTAGATGGGCGCCTGCTGTTTGTTACACCAATGGACCCCTTATTTCTGATACTTTCCTACCTCATAAAGGCAGACAAAGAGGTAAGCGTGCTTTATTTTTTCACTGGAATTCTCAGGAGAAAACGTTATTTCTGACTTCATTTTCTGCAGAAGTTATGTTAATTTTACGAAGAGGGGCTTCCATAATAATTGAAATTTAATTTGCATTTAAAGCAGAGATATCCACCCTAGAAGTATTTTTGTTTGCATCGAGTGTTTTGGTCAGTAAAGTATATTCCAGGAGTCAGCTTGCAATCTCAACAAACTCTAATCACCTCCTTTTTAAGAGAAGCAGAGAATCTCTTTTGTCCTTTTGTGAGAGCCTATCACAGAACTATTGAATTTTAAATGATGAGATGTCATCAGAGTAAAACAAACTAGTGCCCTTTCTGAGGCATCAGTAGATGAGTCATTTTGGGAAAGAAGGGAAAAAGAAAGGAGAATTTGGACGCTATGGAGGAGGGAGAAGGAACATTTCTGTGGCAGTTTGAACTTGAAAGGAAACATTGCCTTTTTAGAATCGGTATTAGTAGAGATGCTGTATCATAGAACAGCAATGTGATGATCAAGTATCCAAAAGTTGGATAATTAATAAATGGCTTAATTGATTTATCATGGGTGTGGCAAAACCTAACTTAAATTTCTGAAGTGTATCAAAAGGCATAGGCAAAGTTATTGATTTATTGTTTATAATCTGCCTGTGGAAAAAAAGGGCATAAAATAAAATGTAAATGTTGATCCTTGTTTTTTGTTTCATGGAGGCAGTAATTTTACTTCTTGCATCCGAAGAGTTTTTGCTCTAAGGTTGCTTGCTATTTTCTGCTTTAGATTGCAAGTGGAGAACGCAGGAGAACAATTTTTGTATGGTGAAGAAATAAAGTCCTACTACACATTTGCAATAGTAACCTATTGTTCTGTAATTATTTTTAAATTATTTATGGTATAGGATGTGCAAACATATTCTGTATTTCTGTGGTCTGTTCCTGCTTCAGGGTGGCCCATCAGAAGAAGTCATTTCACAAGGAATAGTTTAGCTCATTCTCTAGGCATTGTGCTCTGTTTGAATTCAGCATCCCTTTGAAAGCTTTATACAAAGCTTAAATTAGGCAAACAGTAAATCTCCTCTGTCTATGTGGTAGAGTGTTGAGGTAGCCTGAGTAAAGGACAACTGCTGCTGCTGTTTCTGTGCACGGAAGCAGTCCTGTACTGCCCTTCACTTTCTCAGTACATTGTTTTGTAGGGTTTCTGGTTTTCTAGGCCAGGCATGATGCCAGATAAATGCATAGAGCTGTTCTGGGTCCTAAATC